ACATTTTTATAAATGCTCTTATAAGAAAATAAGATTTTTACCCAAAGGAAATAAATGAATAGGCTTAGGGTCAACATAATTTATTTTTCATTCATTTTTCTCACCCAAAAATTAGACTTGAGGTCCACAAGTCTTTGTTTTTATATTGCTTTTTTTGACTATGAAATGAGCCTTCTGAAAATAGACCTTTTGTTCTATTATTTCTCTGTAAAAAAAAAAAAAAATCCTTTATAAATTGAAAGATAACTCAATATTTCGAATTCAAATCAATATTTATTTTATAATTTATTAAGTACCGACCTGAATAAGTTCTTTTTATGACGAGTTCATAGTTAGCTTGATAATATATAAAGCATATTCACTATTCAAATATATATATATATGGAGCATATTTGGCTATTCAAACATAATTTAGATAAATCATGAAAAAAAATATAAATAAATCAGTAAAAACCTAAAGAAAATTCATATATACTATAATTGAAAAAGTTATTTTTAAAACATTTGTACTTTATACTTCATATTAAAAATAAAAATAATTTTTTCTCTATTAATATAAATAATGAATGAAGATAATTACCAGTACAATAACCGCCAAATCATTATAGCACATAACTGAATTTCCTTAAAGCTAAAAAATGAAGGACATTTTCGTCTTTAAATAAGACAGGGCCATGCCTAATCATCCTTATCTAAGAATTAATCTCACTTTCACACACCAATTAAAGTTTAGCTGACTTGTAACCACCAATTAAAAAAAAAAAAAATCTATTTAGTCGTAATCAGCTAATACTCCTATTTCCTATGGAAAGAAAAAATGGAAAACATCTAATTCTTAAGCAATCTTAATCCCCACCCCATTTTTTTTTCAAAAAGTCTCCCGTTATTCATTCTTTTTCTTTTCTTTACCTTGTGACTGTCTCTCTCTCTCAATGCAAAGCCACAAGCCACTGCCATCATCACGTTGATCCCTCACTATAAATTATCTTTTGTTCCCTTAAGAATTCAATGGCGACACTCAAACCCACGAAAATGCTGGCTTTGGGTCTTCTGATCTTGGGTTTGTTGTCAGTGACAGTGCCGGTGTCGGTGGTGTATTGTGCTGCTCTTCTCCCTCTGGAGAGGGCGTTCCCTTTGGACCGGCCGGTCGAACTGGAAGAACTCATTGCTCGCGATGGAGTCAGGCACTCGCGGCTCTTGCAACGTGTGGCTGGCGGCGTCGTCGACTTCTCTGTCCAAGGTTCCTCTGATCCCTTCATCGTCGGGTAATTTTATCTTCTTTTTCCGGGTTCAATGGTTGTTTATGGCGTTTGTTGGCGGGTATGGTCCTTTGTTTCTTGTTCGAAAATTTGGCTGAGTTCTTTTTTTTTTTTTGCGTATTTGGGTTCTTGATTACTGTTAATGTATTGTTTTGGGGATGGTTTTCTCTAATCTGGGTTTCATCTTCCTTGTAGGGACCATGATGGGTCTGTATCAGTTGTTTATGTTAGATTGGAAATGGGTAAAATTAAGCAAATTTTCATCGTCTTGATGTTTGATAAACAATAATGATACTCCTTTTTTAAGTGAAGGGTCTGCATTAGTTACTCATGTGCATATGTGTGTGCCAAATAGTCTCCTTTCCTGCTTCACAGAGAACTTGTTGGTTTTGAAGTTTGAACTGCTGGGGAACTGAATCAAAATGACATATCTTTTCGTTTTCTTTTTATGGTTCATGTTGTTTTTGTTATCTGAAGGTGAATTTTCTTTTCTTTTCTTTTCTTCTTTTTTTTTTTTTATATATATATATTGTTTTTCCCACCAACCTGGAGGTTGTTTGAGCACTTGAAAGTTGAGGAGATATGGAATCTTCAAATTAAGTAATTTGTTTCATTATTGTTCATTGTATTATTTGAAACTGAGAGATTTTGATGTTGTTCATATTGTGTCTTTTAATTATCTTTGTCTTGGTTATGTTCTGTTGATGCTTCTTTTACAGGCTGTTGGGGATGGGATTGATAATATATGGTAATTTAGAATAATTTAGTGTATATTATCACTTTGGCATTGACTTTAATTATGGTTTTGTTTTTTATTAGGCTTTATTTTACAAAAGTGAAACTGGGCACTCCTCCTAGAGAATTTAATGTGCAGATAGACACTGGAAGTGATATTCTATGGGTAACCTGCAGTTCATGCAGTAATTGCCCCCAATCTAGTGGCCTTGCGGTAAAATTTTCACTCCTTGCCATGTTAACAGTCCAAAAATTTGATGAGACTGTATAATGATATGGGAAATAGAAAATTTTAACATCCAACTTGTGCAATAATGTCTTCTACAGATTGAACTCAGTTTCTTTGACACTGCTAGCTCATCGACTGCCAGGCTAGTCCCATGTTCAGATGCAGCATGTTCTCCAGCTGTTCAAACCACTGCAACTCAATGCTCTCAGAGTAACCAGTGCACTTACTCTTTCCAGTATGGAGATGGAAGTGGGACATCTGGTTATTATGTGAATGATATGGTGTATTTTGATACCATCCTGGGGGAGTCTTTGGTTGCAAACTCTTCAGCTGTTGTTGTGTTTGGGTGAGCTTTTATGACTTGGTAGAGAAGGAGTTTTGCAAACTTGATTTTGGAATGAAGATAATTTTTATGATAAAGGGATGAGAATGAAGTAGAGTCACAGAACAGGGATAACTAAACAATTATTCTAATCAACATGCAAAGTAGAAAATTTGATTTAACATTTATTGTTGCTTAAGTTTGATCGTTGATACTATAATGGATCTTTATAGTTTATATAATCACAGCTGATAAAGCATTTTTACGGCCATAAGGCAAATAATTAATTTAGAACTTCAATAACACTGCTTGAGGTAATTGTCTGACTTTCAGTGAATTGCTAGGAATTAATGTCGTACTTTGCTTTTATTCGTGTGAGATTACATAAAATAAGCAAGAAGTTCTATGATTAATGTTCTGTCTGCAGTGAGCTCTGAACAAACAAGGTGGTTACTTCTTTCATTATTCATTCATATCTTGTATCATTATAATTGCCATCAATCCTGCAAATTTAGTCATTTTCATTTGTTACTTTTTATTCACTGCTTTGAGCGGTTGCATTGAAACAGGTGTAGCTCATATCAGTCTGGTGATTTGACTAAGACTGATAAAGCAGTAGATGGAATATTTGGATTTGGCCAGGGAGATCTATCTGTCATATCACAGTTGTCATCAAGGCGTATAACGCCTAGAGTTTTCTCTCATTGCCTAAAAGGAGATGGTAGTGGAGGGGGTATTTTGGTCCTTGGTGAGATTTTGGAGCCAGGCATAGTTTATAGTCCACTTGTCCCATCACAGTATGTTATCTTTCTTGCATGACCTTTTGTCTTTTCTACCTAAATGATAAAACATCTCAGTTTCAGTAGGGGAAATGAACACTACTTGTGAAGTAATTTTAACAGCTTTGTTCTTTAAATTTTCAGGCCTCATTATAATGTAAATCTTCTTAGCATTGCTGTCAATGAACAAATTTTGCAAATTGATCCAGCAGTATTTGCAACATCAACTAACCAGGGTACTATCATTGACTCTGGAACAACGTTGGCATACCTTGTGGCAGAAGCATATGATCCTTTCGTTAGTGCAGTAAGTTCAATTTTTCTATAAATTATTTTAGAGTAAAATTATGTATATTGTTGGCATGGACTTATCAAGTTGAGTAAAGATTTATCTCCTTAGGATAATAATACCACCTTGAAAGCATAAAATTTTACATGTAAATAAATTATGTATTCTGAAGTCAATTTGCATCTTGAACATGTAGATAACTGGAGCTGTTCCACCATCCGTGACTCCCACAATTTCTAAAGGAAATCAATGCTATCTTGTCCCTAACAGGTTTGTTACCTATATCCATATTTTAGCATATCAAGTTTGTGGCTATCTTGTCCTGCAGTTCTAGTTTGATATCTCTGCTCTCAACATCTCTTCATTTGAAAATTTTCTGTCTGTTTTTTGTTCAGTGTAAACGAGATATTTCCTTCAGTCAGTCTAAATTTTGCTGGTGATGCATCAATGGTGTTAAAACCAGAAGAGTACCTTACACATTTTGGTTTCTATGTAAGTTACTCCACTCAAATCCTCTGTTGAACTTGAGATTTTGCTAGAAGTTCTGAAACTAGAAATAACTCATGTATATCAGTGTGTTACATGAAATGTTGAAGGCCCCTTTGTTGTTGCAGGATGGTGCTGCATTGTGGTGCATGGGTTTTCAGAAAGCTCAGGGAGCAGGATCAATGCTAACAATTTTAGGAGGTTGGGTTCTAATTTGGCTTTTGTGGTCAACAGAAAGTTTGCTTAAAGACATTTAGATCAAGAAGCAATTTTCTGAAATATGGTTGTCAATCATCGCACATTGACTTATTTAATTATGGGTTCTTGACTTGTCCAATGGAGGTTTCAGCAAATTTGCACTTGCCATTTGCAGGAAACTTTAATCAATCTCCTGTGTTTTCCCCTATCTAGTTAGCTTGTCCTTGTGTTCTGTACACATTAAATAATTTTTGTTAAATTAAATATATAGAGCAAACAACCTGACTGTGGGAAGCTTGAACTTCACTATATGTTTTATTCTTTTATTCTTTTTATTTTCTTTGGTAGAGTATTTTTTAACTTGATTTATATTACTTAACTTTTAAATTCATTAAAATGCAAGGAGAAGAATGATTATAGGATGTTGGAGGCTAGAGGCTTCTGATCATCCGTGGGAATTGATGTTTACATTTACTTCTCTTTCAACTTGAATTTGTGTTTCTATGCTATTTAGAATTGTTCTCAAGCTTCTTTGTTGTTCATTTAACTTCTAAAACACCAAAACTATGCCCTTCTTTTCCTTTGATTTTGCAGATATTGTTCTGAAGGATAAGATCTTTGTTTACGATCTTGCTCATCAACGGATTGGTTGGACTAACTATGATTGTAAGTTCAATTGACTCCCATTTTGATCTATTTACTTCTTTCCCATGTGAACAAACAATTGAGTGCCTCTTACTTGCTCTCTGGATTTCTATTTCTCAGGTTCATCATCTGTAAATGTGTCCATTACTACCAGTAAGGATGAGTTTATAAATCCAGGACAGCTGAGTTTGAGCACCTCATCCCAAGACATGCTCTTTAAGGTGCTACAGATGAGCTTTGTGGCTTTTCTGATGCACCTCATTGAGTTCACAGAGTTCCAGTTTTTATAATTTAAACCTCAAGTTTGAGAATTCATTCTTTGTTCAGCATCTGTTAGATTGACCGATCTTTATTTATGGTGATCGGCATGGCCTTTGTGCTGTTAATCAGATAACAAAGGCTTGTTCCTACAGTGTACCATCCTTCACCATCTCAGATTGCTACTAAATGGGTTACCTCTTCTCCTGGATAGTGAGGCTTTCTCCCTGTAAAGGATCTATTCTCTTCTCCATTGAAGGAACTGTACTTATATCTTCATCCAATGCATCATTGTCCACTTCACTCTTTGCGGCTGCTTCAAGTAGAAGTAAACTACGAATGCCTTTTTTTCGTTCCTGTAGTTGCTGCTTTTGGTTCAGGAACAGGAAGGGTTGTGGAAAGCATATATTGTTTCCAATTTGTATACTGCATTGCTCCATTGGTTATACCCCAAAAAATTCATATGTTGTAACCTTTCTAACCGTTGTGTCTAGCCAAAGGAAGAACTATTGATTGCTTTTGTATTGACCAGTGAGCTGCTATTAATGAAAGTGAGTTTATTGCAAAATGAAACTGAATTGTGGCGTAAAAAATGTTTAAAGTCGAAACAGACAGGCAATATCCGGTGCTTTGAGTATGAAATTTAAGGAAAAAATGTTTGTAACAATTATTTACTTCTCCAAAACTATGTTGTTAAAAATTTAGAGGTTTAACCTTCCCAAAAATTATTTATATTAAGCTACTATTCAATATAGCAAATTGAAACTAGTAATTTGTAACTAGTAATAAATAATTTTATATAATTTAATAGTCAACAATAATAATTATTATTAAACATTTTTATTTGTTAAATTAGATAAAATTACTATAACAAATAGTCCCTAAGACTTTTAGTAACTTATTTAGTTTGAAGAGATGTGTTAATATTCATCAATCAAATTAAGTCAATAAATAAGTAAATCTAAAATTACAAAAAATATATAGATTACGTGAGAATTATAAAATATTTTACTCCCATATGATCCCATTAATGGATCAAAACCCCAAGATTT